CGCAGCTCCTAGCTACTACCAAAAGTTCCAATCCCCACAGCTCTGGACCTGTTATAGCTAGAGGTCTGAAATTTTCTGCATTTGTGGCTGACATGATGTAGAACAAATATAATCCAATGCAACCTGCCTTTTCTTAAGAATGTCTTTATTACCACTGTTCAAAACAGACCTATCATTTCCGAGAATAAAAAAAACAACTTTGAGTCATGTTTGAACTGATGCAGGTTGGTCTGTGTTCTACTCACCCAATTTTAATTTATATATTAGGAAACTAGAGGGTGTTGACTTTTAGATAATGTAATTTGGGCTTACAGTTCCTAAGTTATTTGCTTTTCTATTTGGTTATGCAAAATGGTCGCGGATTACCCAAAATGAGGTTGATGTTAAGAGATTAAGTGAGCAAGTCCACCTGAAAACTTAATCTGTGCAATCAGTTCATCCTGATTACGATCCTGCCTTCAAACATTATTTCGTTGGTGGAGCCCCTCAGACAGTGAAACAAACTATTATTTATCTATTTCACACTACCCTTGATCACAAGTCAAAACCTTAACATCTGTGTACTAGAGCAAGATCCAAATGTGCAAGAGTCTAGTTACATTTTCATTGTGGAGTAAGAGACAAGGTATGGGTGCAGCACCTTCCATCGGCGGTGTATCCAGAAAACAGATTCTATGTGACTAAGAAGTCACATTTAATCGTAACAGCAGTTGCTCCATGCTTGCAGAAAGCATTATGAGCTCGAGAAAATTTTTGTCATATGCTTGAAAAACACAGAAAACGAGTCAGACAGGCACATTGTCTCGAGCACAAGTGTCATTGTTATTCTATTAGCACAATGTAAAAAGTTTTAACTTGAAAGAATGCATGGCGACGGATCAAAAACAACAGTGAAGTAGGCTACATTTATGGGTTGTATTTTCAAAAATAAAACTATGAAACGGGCTTGGTTAGAGACAAGAGAGAATATAAAGGGAAAAGTCTAACTACCACAGCTGGATTCAAACCTGTATTGATACAAGAGGTGTGCATGACACACTATTTCTCTAACCACTGTGTCACTACTTAGCTGCAGGAACTGTGAACTGTTGCAAGTAATAGCTGTACAGCACAAAACATAAGTTAGCGATGCATGTCAGGGGAAAAAGTTTCACATGAAAAAAGGCATGGAAATAGATTCAAAATAACAGCAAAGTGCATGTAGGGGTTATATTCCTAAAACTAAGGCTTTGTGAAACGACAATGCAGTGAACTTTGGAAACATTGCTACACAGAGCTTTGTGCAGTTTTCCACAAAGCAGATCTGTGCTGAACTTTCTTGGTCTGGCTGCCTTGATCAGGGATTGGACGCAACCACTTGAAATGCATCGGCTGTGGGAAAAGAAGGAAGAACATTATTATCATATTAGGAAAACGCCTGTTGTCTTGGTAACGGCACGCGTCAGGAACACGTGTTTTGACCTGTCACTACAGGTACCATCATGACTGATGTAAAAGCGGCACTTTTTGGTAAAAGACGGTGAAGAAAGCAGTGAAATTTCGGGAAAAAAGGCGCTTTTAGCAGGTGAACTTCAATCTTCATGTGATAATTAGATGCGAATAGAGGCACTGCCATACTCCTCAGCTGCGCTGCACCTGCTGCAGGATCAGTAGACAATGCAGGTGAAGTGTCTTGCCCCAGGACACAACGGGGCTTGAACCATCAACCCTTCAATTTCAGGGCAAACTCCTACACTGATGCCACAGTCGCTCCACTGATACTTAAGGTGTGAACGTAGCATTAGAGTTCCTACTATTTCACTGTCTTCTTGTGTAGAAAACTTCCTAATTTCTGAGTTGTAAAAATGTGAAAATGTCAGATTCCCCTTGTTTGTGGTTGACATTAACAGTAGTTCATTTTTATTTGGATTCATAATCCGGTGAGCACCAATAAAAAACAAGCTTTCATCGAGCAACTAGAGAATAATTCCTAAAATGTTGAAGAGTGAGCCCACCCTGTTTTTTTTTTTTCCAAGTTGGAAAAAAAGTTTTATGAATTTGACTTTCCGCTGTTTGATGCACTATCTATTGTATGATTTATGCTATAAATATTCTTGTTCTGTTATCCTTTATAACATTTAGCTGAATTCCTGAAGAGCTGGGAACCAAAAGGGGTGCCGCCCCCCCTGTTATGAACCACTAAGCTAACAGCTGTGTACAGATTAGAACTGATTCATTTCAGACGTTATAAAAAGCGTTTCAAACACAAACTCCAGATCTACCATCAACCGCCTGACGTGTTTTTTCCAGGCCGCTGCAGAGTTCTGCGGCGCTGCGTTCGCTGCAGCCATGAATGGGCCTCAGTGTCAGCCAGATGAACAGGATCCTTATTCACTGACCTGTGATCTTTTTACTCTGACAGACGCTGTGTGTGCTACCAGAGCCAAGGTTGGGTTGACACACCAGTTGGTCCAGTTTGGTTCTGTTGCCGAGCTGCAGATGATTTTTCTCATGGTTGTGATAAAAGGAGCAGAAACTGGATGCAGCCAAACTTCCAGGAAATGCACCATTAAAAGTTTCAGCTGATCACAGAAAGTCCGAATTTAGCAGATCTTTTTTTCCCCCCCAACATCTATAAACAAAAAGGTTAAATCCCATAGCCAAGAGATTGTTTCTAT